CTACCTGATTTAGTACTTCGTAACCGGGAAATCTCTATGAAATCTTCAGACGCTTATTGTATTCTATCTTTGTTTGAAATTTCGCCTTGGAAACTTGTGGCATTATCTCTTACTATTTTTTTTTGTGTGGTGGGTGTGGATGAGACTGTTGATTAAACCACCGCCTGTCTTAGTATTACGTCTCAGAATACATTTGTGGAGGGCAATTATTGAGCGAAAGTGGAGATATTAGATTATGAATAGCAGAGGGTATTATCGTATTTTACTTATAAAAGTCAGTCGGCTGGAATTTTATTTTGCAATGGGCCATATCCACACGTCAGCCCTACTTAACAAAAATGTTCAGAAAATTCAACGGGTACAAATGGGCTGCCGTGTCAGCTGTATGTTTCCAAGCAATGATCACTGTGTTTAGCACGATATTTTTTTCCTTATCACGAAATGAGATGTAAGCAAGATTTCATTGTAGGGTATACGTTACTAGTAATCACTAGACTTTTAGGTTAGTTTCACTTTGATATCAAAATATTTAAAACTTGCATTACAGTACCAAATTTTTTTTTTTTTTTGTTGAAGTTAAACATTCTTCGATATCGTTCATCATTAACCGCATCATTTACAAGAACATCAGCAAAAATGGCAATACCATGAGCCGCCATGTTAGCCGAGCGTTATATGCCTCGAACAAAGATGTGGGGATTATCCTGAAGCAAACGACGAGCCTCGACCAGTTTGAACCCGACGACAGACAAGTCAAGCTGTGTTAAAGTGAGCCGGAGAACAACATTCACAGCGTCGCACTCGATGGTTATCTCTGAAAATTGCAAGTCAATCGCCATCCGGATTCCAAGTGTGACTGCTGCTGCTTCCACAAGTCCAACATCACAGGGTCCAGCAAGCGGAGAAGCATGGCAAGCCACGACCAAACCGTGATGATCTCGTGCCAAGACACTAATCGTTGATCTGCCCGATGAGCGCGAACAGGCTGCATCAACATTTATTTTTATAGCAGCATCAGGTGGTTTGCACCAATTGTTCTTTAGAGCTGCTGAAGACGTCCGGTTTGAGTTGGTGAAACCCTTTGATGAATCATATGATGCCAGAAGTGCCCGACTTGAAGCCGTAACTTGCCAGCCATGGGTCATTCGATTTTCATGGACAACCAAATTGCGTCGATGCCAGATCTGGTATAGCAGAACAAGGAGCAACCAAAATTCTTCAATGGTAAGCACGTTGAGTAGAAATTGTAACCATTCACCACAAGAGCTCCATTGAGTGAAGAGAGAAGCTGCATGGAATCCCGAAGCATAAAGGATTGGTCTGGTCCAAGGGAAATCACAGAAAGCATGCAAACAATTTTCAATCATATCTCCACACATCGGAGACATCCCCAACGACAGACCCGATATTTATTAATTATCATCACTGTTATAAATGTTCGCGTAACACATTAAAACTATCTTCTCCCAAAAAAAAATTTCTAAGTACTAAATTTACAATTGTCGTAGAGGCCAAGTCCTTTTATGAACAAAGCAGTTGTGTGTCAATCGAGAAGGATCTGTTGACTCAGAAAATTGATATATTTTTATTTTAACTTCTTCAACTGTTGATAAACAGTAGATTGAAAAGCTTTTAACTCTTAGGGTGGGTTTGGTTCACGGAATGTAAGATTACCAGTGGGAATAAAAGATTACCAGGGAATAGGATTACTGGGAATGTTACATTACTGTGTTTGGTTGGTTTAGCAGGAATGTAAGATTACAGTGTTTGGTTGGAGGAATAAAAGATTACTGGGATGTATATTTTACCAAATTGTCCTTGTTCTATATTTATTTTTTAACAAGTGAAATCATAAATATTTAAATAAAAATTATTTATATAAAAATTTCATTTGTTGATAATATATTACTTGAGTATTTAAATATATCATATATTATTTTTATTTTAATTAATATAAAATTTTACATAATTTATGTAAAAGTATATTAAAATTTTACATAAACATTTAACTAAATGTTTACATTGTGAAAATTCTTCATAGATATTCATAATAATAAAAAGATGTAAATTATTTTTGTTATCTAAGATATAATATTTATTATATCTTCTATATACAATAATTTATTTATTTATCTTTTATACTTATACTTATTTATGCATACTTTATCATTATTATTTATTTCATTAATTTATATTACAAAAACATAATTCAAATAAGTAAAAATATAACACTAAAAATCATATTGTCTATAATTTTATATTTCACCGTCATTCATCATTATCTTTGTTAATATTTTAATAAGTAAGAAAACATAATTTATCAGTAATTGGTTGATGATTTATATTATTATTCATTCAGTAAGGAATACTTATCTCAAATTCGTGGATTCTTGGTATGTTTGTATGTTGTAACAAGTTTTTTGTGCATTAACGTGAATAGCTTCTCATCTTTTCTTTCTTTTATTTCAGGTCAAAGAGTGGAATTGGATGTTAACTATGAACCGGATGAGAAACCCGAACCAAAAGCTCCTATTAATAATTTAATTTTAATAACTGAAAAGTTTTTAAAAAATCAAAATTTATTCCCCCTTAATTTGTGTTGTAACATTTTAAGTTATAATTGTTTGTATCGTATGAATACTAATCAATACTATGGTTTCAATCGTAAATCAATATCAAAATTTAAATAGTTTATTCATCTCGATGGTACAATGTGTTTGGATAGAGTCCACCATACTCCTTACCTTAGCTAAAAATATCAACAGAACAATCCAATCATCTGTAACCAACAAAACAAACCAACAGAGGAGCGTCATTCACCCCAAACCAAGGCAAAATTTCAATGGTACAACACCCTGCACAATGAATCCACAACCTTCAGAACTGAAAACTCAACTTGGGCACCAGCAGAACAATCCCAAGTTACGATAGAACTATAAAGTCAGACCCCACTATTCCTCCCAAACAACATCACTCGAACAATATCAAGATCAAACCTGCAATGCTTTCAATGAAAAAGAAAACTTATTCGAAAACTAGAACATTACTTGCAACTCATATACTACATAACAAAAAGAAGTAACATTAAGTCATTAACCATCAAAAGATTGTACAATGTTCAGACTTACAAAGATAATAGCCATGACATTCTAAACGTAATCATATATGTTGGCTATATTATATACACACAAAATTCTTCAAGTCAAAAGATTGACATATACTTGGCTAAGCTACACAAAAAAGTTGGGACCATATTCTAAAGTCACAATCAAAAAGAGATCGACATAATTGTAGAAGGACGACAGTCAAATGATGGTCTAAATTGACGGCATTCAACCAATTGCTTAATCACATAATCTTTCTTGAATTCTTTTGGCAAAGAAAAGAAGAAATCTACCTTGTGCTCATCTTTGCTAATATACTCTCCTGCAGTAAGCATTTCATCAGTGGACAGTCCTTCAATTTTCATGATTTCAGTGAAAATCGACATTCTTCGATCATTTCCTTCTGCCTCTTTTTTCAATAAAGCAGTAATATCCTTAATTTCTTTGGCAGTTTCTCGGTATGCAGCACCGAACTTACTTATCTCCTGTACAAGCTCAGTTAACCCATCATCACTTCGAGACCTTTTCTTGCTAGCTACTTTTTTCATTGTAGGGGTAGAGCCAGTAGCATCAGATGTTTGGCAAGTTGAAGCACCAACATCCTCTCTTGATTCAGAATCTCTTACTCCCTCTTCTTCAAGTAATGCATCTATAAATGCATTGTCTTCTACATCAATATGTTCCACTGCATCAGCTGCTGTCTCCGCTGCTGTTCCTGTAGCTCTTTCTTTTCCAAATATATGAACAAAGTCATCAAAGAATGGAAATGACTTGTTTCTCAATCCAGCAGCAGTTGGATGACTCTACAATATAATAAAATCACAGATTAATAAATCTTACAAAGCTAAGTAGATAACAAGAGTATAGAAAGAAGATAAATTCAATTAAAATACTACTCTAACCCAATCATCAAACACATCCTTTGGTGCAGTTAAACATTTTTCTTCTTCATTCCAACCGAATCCACTTCCAATATTCAGCATTTCAGATAAAGCATTGTATTGTCTTTTGAGTAGCTTCACTCTAGATTCAATATGTGGATGGGCCCTAATTTGTGATGTTGGAAGCTTGATTTCTAACATCTTTTCAAGGTTAGATAGATAACCTGATCTAAATGTTCCATTATCAGCTTTCCAATGTGGGTCTTCAGCCAAAATGTGTAAACATTCAACAAGTGCAGCATCCTCCTCTTTAGTCCATGTCCTTTTAGTTCCTAAAGACTTAACCTTTCGAGATGTCGGTTTTTCCCCCTTTTGAGATTCCATATTTGATGTTGACATATTGCTCTTCGAAACAATCTAAGAAGATGTATATAAAAAATGCATAACATAACATAAAACATGTCATCATTGTCAATACTAATCATAAATGAAATTTAAAATAGTAACATAATATAAATCAAATGTAGTGAATGACATAAGTAATGAATGGCCATAACAAATAAAATTTGAATTTTATAGGAGATAATACATAAAATTTAATAAAGTTTATGCCATAAAATATAAATATGTCAAATACATGAAAGTAATGACCACTAACATTAGATAAAATATAAGGTGAAAGTCATACATAACATAAAATAAAATCTATCCTAAAGTACGCGACGCCAACCAACTAGTAAACATATCTTCTGCTAATTTGTCTCTCCACTCAGTCCAAGCACTGCTTGGCTCACAATGTCTGATCATTTCTACTTCATTAATCTCTTCAACATGCCTACTAGCTTCAGTATAGTCAGATTCAATAGGATCGATTGGCATCTCAGATCTTATGAAATTATGGAGAAGACAACAAGCTGAAATGAGTCTACATTGTGTTTTCACTGGATAAAATGATTTTTCCCTTAAAATTGCCCATCTCGCTTTCAATATGCCGAAGCATCTCTCAATGCAATTCCTAGCTTGAGAATGTTTCATGTTGAAATATTGAGGGTGGTAGGTGGTGTCCTTCTCTCCAATCATTCAAGTGGTATCTTTGACCTCTATATGGTGCAAGAAATCCCTCTCCATTCGTGTATCCAGCATCACATAAGTAGTAACACCCTATATTATTTTAATTTAAAAAGTAAATTAATATACAAAACTTGTAAGAATTTTACATTCTTATATATATATATATATTAATGACCTAATAATTTACCTTGTGGAACATTTAAACCATTTCTTCTACTAATGGCGTCTCTGAGTATTCTACCATCAGCTGCAGAACCTTCCCACCCAGGTAAAACATAAATGAATTGCATGTTTGGTGTGCAAACACCAAGTACATTTGTCGCAATTTCATTTTTTCTTGTTCTGTATCTAGGTTTATCGATTGCAGCTACATTGACCTTAATATATGTTCCATCTAGAGCACCCAAACATCCCTATATTCATCAAATAAAGTTAAATTACATTATTACTATCATTTATGTATTAAGCATTACTAATTAACTTAAAAGAAAGTTCAGAATTATGATACAATACCTTAAACCATTTCCATCTATCGTCTGTTGAATTATCTTGTATCGGTTCTGGTTTTCTAAAAAGGATCGGATGCAATTTCAAGACTGAAGCTAACACTGTATGGAGAACTCTACTAATTGTTTCACCAGATCTTACTGTTTGACGTTTTAAAACTCTAATCTTAATATGGTGGGATATAATATGAAGGAAAGTAATAACCATCTCTTCTATAGACATATATCGACTCTCTTTTAACCCACCTTGACTTTGTAATAGGTGACACAATTTGAGAAATGCTCTCCTATCCATTCGACAATTATCAACACTTTGTCGATCACTTTCAAATATAATTTATGTAAATTAAGTGATCTAATATTATGTCTATGAAGTCTTTCATGTGCATAAGTTATTTTAGGTCGATTTTTATATTTTCTAAGAATAACTGAAATAACCATAGCATATGACACACAATCTCCATCATTTGCAGTTGTAAAATAAGAATTGTGGCGATATGCGTCTTCTTTCACATTGGTAAACGAGCCATAACTGTTATTATGAACAAACATTTTAATATTAGAAAATAATAATATTTAACAAGAACAATTGTTTGTCATCACAATAAAAATAACCTAAAAGTTTGGACTACCAATATATTTGGACAAACATGTTATATCAGTTTTTTACGATAATAATTGTAATAATAACGAATTAAAAGTTTAGTGACTTTATTGCAAATTTCAAATGTTCGGTAACGAAAATACAAATAACCTAAAAGTTTGGACTACCAATATATTTTAGCCTAATATAACAAAGAGGGTGGCAACAACAAACTAGGAAGTTGAGTGAGTGTGTTGGCGTGCATAACTGAGCTAGACGTTGAGCGTGTTAATGACACCCCCAAACCTAAAGAGCCATACCAAGCAACAACAAACCTAAAGTTTTATTTGTGCCTATGATGGAGACAAAATCAGTAGAGGACCAAGTCCAAGATATTAACACTATTTCTAAGGTTTCCATGGTTCAACGGAGCAGGAAAACTGTAAAACAGTTGCAAATTAAGGGCAAAACTGTCGATGTTGATGATAAAATTATCGCCGCCGAGCAGAAGAAAACTACTTGTGCTTCAGGTACTGCAGAAAATTTATTTATATGTAGCAGTAATGCTTATACTGTTCTTATTTACAGAACTATTCTTTTCTCACTTTAATTTGAGTATAAGGATGGGTTATTGTTTTTTGAACCTTGCTTTACTAGGTAGGAAGACTTCTCTAACAAAGAGAAAGAATAGACCTGTGAAAACTTCAACCCCTGCTTCAAAAAAGGCTAAATATGCAGGTGAAGGGAAATTTTAAACATCAATTCACATGGTTATCAACCTGTGAAAATATATTTTGTGCATCAATGATCGAGTCAATTACATCGACTGAAGAGTCTTGGACTGCCATAATTACCGTGCAAATCCAATATCATTTCCCATTCATCAACTCAAGTTTGCCAGAAAAAAGGGGGGTAGAGAAAATTTTATCTCGTGCGTGGTTATAATTGAAAAGCTCATTAATGCAGGCCAACATGCTGCAATTGAAAGGCACGTTGAGAGACAGTTGCAAGCACTAGCTTCGACTATCCTCTTTCTCAGCCAGCTATTTCTGACTTGATTCCATGATTAATGAATCCACATGACACAAAAAAGACACTGCAGCAGCTTCCTCACAATTTGACAATTTGGGTTTTTAACCCCTTTTTTTCATACATTTCTAGATCAAATGTTGTCAACTTCATCTCTGTTTTACAGCTAAACCTAACCCTAAACAACACCGCATCTGATTTTACATGGGAGTTCTTCGAGATTAAGGTTTATGTTTTTATTCAAGGGGAATTTTGAACTTCGTTGAAGTTTAGCTTATTTGTGTGTACCCCTTAAAAATATTATTCAATGTCATTCAAACTATATAGATTGCACATGGTTTAATATTAGTTCTATAAAAAAAAGACATTGATAGCAAAGATGTTAGTGCTGAAAATGGAGTTACCATTGGAAAAAAATATTGATAACTATATGCTTCAATGGCGATTATATTTTCAGCTGAAAAATCCCAATATTCTGGTATCTAAGACTTCAGTTCAAAATCTTGTTTTATTGTATTCCAAACCCTAGTTATAACCAAAGCGACCCATTGGGAAAAAAATCCATATCTATATGCCTCAATTGCCATTATCTTAAAAATCCCAAATTTAGCATCTTTAAGAATTTAGTTAAAAACTCTGTTTTTAACGTATTCCAAACCCTAGTTATAACCAAAGTTTCTATAATTATTTGCCTTAATTGGGATTATCTTTTGAATTGTTAACTCAGCTTTTTTTTTCTCTCTCACAATTCAGCTTCTGGCAATTTTCTAAGCAGCAAAACCTGTGAATCAAAGCGAACCATGGACTATTTTGGCCCATAAGAAGCCGCAAAAAGGGTGGATAACATATAATCCTAGAACTATGAGACGAACACCTCCTAAGGAGAATACAGAGTTTGTTAACATTCTGTCTTGGAATATCAATGGGCTTAGAGCATTTTTGAAACTAGAAGGATTTTCTGCATTTGTGGTTTAAACTTCTGGGTAAACTCTGTTTTTTCCATTTCAGTCTTCTATATGCTAAATAAGATAAGATACGTCAACCTATGCTTGTTACCCCCGTTGTTAAGGGAACTAACCCCAATCTTCTAAGAAAAATGAAACTTGACATTAATGAAAAGAGACAAGCAATGGACATGTTACCAGGTTTCTGGAAAATTTAAACAAGTCAAAAATTGTAAAGAAAGGGAGAAGAGAAGAAAGGGAGAGGAGAGGAGAAGAAATCTTACCAGGATAACCGATGAATTTTTCGCAGAGGCAAGGGGAGAAGAAGATACACAAAGGCAAGGGGAGAAGAAGATACGCAGAGACAAACGGGGAAAAGAGGGTATTTTAGCCCTTAACACAGGAATAAAAGAATACCTAACATCTACGTGGGAATAACATTCCCGTGAATACACACACAATATTTACTGTTGGTAAATAAATATTTCCCCCACTTGGGAATTTTATCCAACCAAACATGGGTATCCTCTACCAGGAAAAGAATATGCCTACCAGGAATTCTAAATTCCTTGATCCAAACGGATCCTTAGTTTTGATTGAGATTTGAGGAGATTAAAAGATATTTTTAATGAGATTAAATTACACAAAAATATGTTTAGTTTGATGATTTTTTCTAATAGAGAAACCATTAAATGAAAATAAAAATAATGACTACCAAGGCTTGATCACCTCCATCTCCAAACTTAGTCAAAGTTAACGTTGATGCAGGTTACTCTTTGGCTCAACAGAAAGCTACCTCTGGAGTGGTCATTCGAGATGAGCATGGCAACATCATGGGTTCTTGTTTCCGACTCCATCACTCTATCTCATCGGTTTTCATGGATCTTTATTTTCAAAAATCCGTAAGAGCCATTCTTTAAACTCAACATTAGAAACAGTTGTACGCCAGTGGAATTCAAGCTTATTTTAGAAACATGAGACTTGCTCATGAGTTATATCTTCAATAGGATATCGACAATGAGGACAACAACTGTTATAAATGTTATAAATGTTCGCGTAACACATTAAAAATAACTTGAGTCTTGTTTGATTCGCTTCATACACAAATTATGGAAAGTAGGCACGAAATTGAGAAAACATTTCCAAATTAGGATACGAACCTTGGGAGGGCATTTTATTTTCCAAAGCTGGTTAAACAGATGGACCTCATCCGTATTTACATTCCTCGAACCAAGTAAGTGTTTATACCTGCTGTGAACCGAGTAGAGACCAGATTGTTCCCCATTCTAAGAATCATAGCCTCGAAGAAATTCCACTAACTCGATCATAAGCCTTGCTTATATCGATTTTGAGGGCGAAAAAGCCTGTTTTGCCAGTGCGCTTATTCTTTAAAAAATGAAGAGTCTCATACGCAGCAAGAACGTTATCAGTTATTAAGCGGCCGGGATAAAAGCACTTTGCGCTTCATCAATCCAAAGATGGACGGATTGAAGCCTATTTGCCACTACTTTCGAAATGATCTTATAGAGCACGTTATTGTTGGAAGCGTAGAAGGACACTCGAGTAATTTATATAACTCGAAATATTATTAATACGAGACAAAAATACGTTACAATGATGTTACCACAATCAATATTACAACACTACAACACTAGCTGCGGCTTGTTTACTAACACAACCTCGCTATTTTAAGATTTGCTAAGCTTTACCCTCTCTCATAGCTTTACTAAGCTATCTCAAATTTTCTCTAGCTATTCTAAGCTTTCACTCATATTCCATCTCATTCACTTTGCATACATTTATATTAATGCTAAAGACATATATTTATAAGGGTAATTAACCTCCTTAATGAAAGATCAAGTCATTTTCAAATTCTTCTTGTATTGCCACATGGAGTTCCTTATCTTAATGAAATTCCCTTCCATCATCAATTGTCACATATTTATTTTCCATGCTTAGTTCTTAAGTAATTCAAGATTATGCTTCATTAATCAAGAATCTTCTAGAATTATCCATGCATTGCCACCATAAGTAGTAAAATTAGATTTGAATTCTAACACCCCCTCAAATCTGATTTTTCATTCCGAGCTTTTCTTTGAGTCGGTTGAATATATCTGCCCTCAATGGCTTTGTGAAAATGGCTGCTAGTTGATATTCAGTTCTGCAGTAAATTAGCTCCACAATTTTATTCTTCACCTGCTCTCGTATAAAGTGATACTTTGTATCGATATGCATGCTTCGGCTATGGGAGACTGGATTCTTGGCAAGTGCACGCTGCTGCGGCTATGTATTATTCTTTGCTTTTTTGAAACCTTGGAGAGATTTTTGCAAAATCTCCCATGCTTGTTTTGCGGTCTTCGCATCAGAAATTTTTTCAAAGGTAGATTCGTCTACTCCTTGAAAAATAAAGAACAACACTCTTTTATCTTTTTTTCGGGATTCCTTCAATACCTTCTTTTCTTCATTAGGCAGGGTTGCTTCTGCTGCTGTATTTTCAGGCTCGGTGTATCCTCGATGATATCCCAACAATCTTGGGAGTCTAGTAATGCCTTCATTTGAATGCTCCAATTGCCATAATTCATCTTTGTTAATTTTGGGATTTGAGGTTGAATCATGTTGGCCATCTTATCTACCACGTTAAACTCGAACCAA